TGTGATTCCTAAGCGTTTTCCAGCCCCATCTTTATTTTTTTATTTAACCTTTATTTAACCAGGAAAAGGCTGATTTTAGGCCATCTTTAGGTCCAAACATGTGTCTACTGCTTTGTTTTATGAGCAGATATCTGCAAAGTGAATCACTTTTTCTTCTGTAGCATTCTCTTTCTGTGAATGTGATGTTTCTTGAGCACCTCGGGTGTATTTCTTCAAATTAGGCACAAATCTTCCCTTTTTTTTGTTGTGTTTTATTTTGTCTTCTTTTCAGATTTATCTTCCAGCCATTATGTTCTCCTGTGTCTCATGGGTTGCCATTTCATTTGCGCAGCGCTTCGGTTCAACTCTTTAAATGAGCTTTACAGATAAATTTGACTTAACTTTACTTCAGCTAACTCATGAGATTTGGTGGCCAGAGGTCATTGTGACCTCCTAAAACACATTTTTATCGAGAACTCAGTAATTAATGTGCTTATTTCGACACAATTCGAAATAGTCTAATAGGACAAGATAATGAAGGGAGGGCATTTGATATCCAAAAGTCGACTTTACGTGAAGATCATAAACTATTTTCTGGCCGTTATTCAGCGCTTTACTTGAGAACAGAAGAGCAAAATGTAAAAATATCTTGCATTTGTTCAGATATTGATTTGGTGACATAAACCTCGGCTGCCCACCTGGTACATTCTTTCAGTCTTCACTACATATACAGCATTATGAATATGGACAGACATGGGTTGAAACTCAACGGGTTGGTGGAGGAATTCAACCGCAACGTGTTAATTTTGATAATTAGCATGTTATAGTTTTCATTTTACCCACGTTACTGTTTATCTGGTTCCTCAGTACAGCTTTACTGAGCTATTACCGTCTTGTTTTTTCCTTTAATTTACTGAAGCTATTTATTTCCATATTTATTTGCTTGTGCTTGTGATTTCTACATTCCATAAATTTCCATCCAACTGCAGTTACAGTAGTTTAGTGATGCAGGAACATTTGTAAGTTAATCTGTTTTGAACGGATCGACCTGTTCTTATTTTTAAACTAATGTGTAAGAGGAGGCCGTGCCTTAATTACGTCACCAGAAGGGCAGTAAACATTCTAAAGTTTGCAATTTGTTCAGCTTCCTTAGTGTAGAAAACCAAAACGGCCTCGATGCATTAACACTACCTTCCCCCTAAAAAAGCAGCCAGCACTCTGTGTGCTCAGAGATGCGAGGCATCGTGTTTGACAGATGGACAGATGCAGCTTCATCTCAACCTCCCACTCGCTGACTTTCACCTGGTGGGAGATGAGAAACGCAGCTTTCTATCGGGGCTGTGTGTGACTGAGTTGAGTGCAGAAGCTGTACTTGACAGTCAACCGGGCCAACCACTGATTTCTCAAAAACAGCAGACGGCGTGTGTGTGTGTGAGGCAGTACCTGTTAGGATTTAACAGATTGCAGTGTCCTTACTATAAAGCTAGTACAGTAGTTCAAGCCAGGCAGTGACTGAAAATACACCATATATCTTTGCACACAAGTCTCACGACAGGTAACTTTTTACAGGCTCTTATTTGACTCGACAGGCTCTCTGAGTGAATTCCAGCTTTAAATCGTAGCTCGGAGTAAAGGTCGACCAAGCATGAAGAACGGCTGCCTCTTCTCTTTTTGGTCCGTCAGCCGTGCTGGACGACAGCAGGCTCGGGTGGCAGACATGACTTATTGGAGTTCATTACAAACACCTGAAACTGACTCTCTCGCTGTCACACACACGAATACACACACTTCTCAGCAGCTGCAAACAAACACACGTGGCTGTAATCTCCGAGCGTTTAGATGAAGCCTGTTTGATTTTTAAAATTCTTCCTTCCCCCCCTCTGAGTGTAACTCTGTCCGCCAGTTTATTTTCACATTTAAAAACATTTGCATGACTGGCGGCGGCGAGTCTCCTCTCAGATTGTCGTAATCCGATCAATTCCTGTACTGTGAGAGGCAGCGTAGAAACACTATATTCAAAACACGATCATCCAGTTGGAACCTTTCAGGGGATTATGAATAATCAGGGGGGAAGGTATCGGTAAGGGAGGCGTACAGGTAACACCTCCCAGCGGCTCTGCCAAACTGAGGGTATCAGCTGATGCCACCACAAACGCTGTCACGGTTTCATTTAATCCGATACTGTAGAGGCACTCAAACAAATCAGCAGGGTTTAAATCCAGGTTTGTGCTGTCCTCTGTGGCTTTTGGGGGGAAGATTTCTAAATTAACCAGGTGGTGTCGGTTTTGGCTCGTGA